TATACAACTTTTGTTTGGTATTTTATATTGTTGTACATTTTCATACTTATTGATAGGCCATTATTTGCACACTAAATTGTTTTCGGATTTTTACGTTTTTTCCTGATCATGACAAGGAGCACATGACGGCGGTTGTGACGACAGGGGATGCTCACTCCTCATTGCACCTGATACCACTTCTGATGTTTTAGAGGTCCGTCTTTACTCTGCTCCTGATTTGTATTATTTGAATTTACTTTTGAGGTTGAATACTGTTTGTTATCTCCGTATTTAATGAACAGATACTAACTGTATCCATATTCTGGGTCAACTTACTACATTGTATGATACATGATAAACTACACAGAAGAACACGATGTTGCCAATAATTATGAAAATTAATTTATTTTAATACTAATAGGATGTGTGATAATTCTTGCAATGTAAATTTTTGTGATGTTTAGACAAATTTTGTATGCGTTAACAAGAATTCTTTTCACCCACCCCCCTTCACTAAAAAAAAAAAACAAACAAGGATAAATTATATTTTAAGTTTTTGTTTTCTATGTAGGGCTTAAGGTTAACAATATAACGCAAATTAAAACTAAACAAGAATTGTTGGAAAGGAAAATAAATGGGGAAAATGTAAAGCATTGAATTTTTCATATTTGAATTCAAAATACACTGAAAAAAATCTTAAATGAAAATACTTTTATTATTGTCAGGCGTAAAGATGCACAACAATCAAAACAACCAATTAAATATTGAAGACCATCACATTCCTGTCTGATACATGTATCTGTTAAATAGTTTATGAAAGATTTTATAGAGAAACTTGCTTTGTAAATGAATGGTAGGGAAAAGTTAATTCGTACATGTTTCTGTGCTATAAGAGGCATTACCTATTTAACATCCCCTGTCAAATACTTGTTCCATGGTGATTTTATTAACAGCCTACATTTTAAAAAAGATTTTTCCTACATATTCCTAGTATGTGAAAGCTTTGATCCCTCAATGTAGCCCCACCCTATTGTTGCAAGTGTAGTCGTTATTTGGTACATGTAATAGTGTATCTAGTCTGAAATGAGAAGCGTTTAAATATTTTTAACACTGATTTCTCCTTCACACCCTTTGATCTTTCATTATTATGTTGGTTTGCTGCTAAGATTTGGAAATGAATCTTTAATTTTTTTCCCTGTTTTCTGATTGTAGATCATATAAATGGTTAAAAATAAAGCTTCTTATAATTACCAACTCCTATGACTTTTTCAAAATAACTGCAAAAGTTTCCTTCCAAGGATGATGCAATCTGAAATATTTTCGAGTTCTTTCTTAAAATGAATAGGGATAAAATACCAAAAGTGCAGAAAAACCGGAGATTTTCCTTCCCTTCACAAAAGCGTTATTAAAACTCCCCTTGTCCTTAGATAGCAAGAGTATCTTATTTGCCATCCTGGTATGGACTAACATTGACAAAATTCTCCGAATTGTTAAAATTTAATCTCGTAATCAATTAGCTATAGCTTCTCACAACCACAAAAATATGACGTCACAGCATACGAAGGACAACCAAAGAGAATGTACATAAACAGAAAATTCTATATATGTACAGTAGTTGGAAATGAAATTTATTTCACTAGAGTGGCTGCATGGATTTTTTAAAATCTTAAACTTGCCTGGGGACTTAGAAATTTTGATAAGTATAGTTACATACGCTTTTCATACTAATTGTTAGGTCATTATTTACACACTGCATTGTCTACCGATTTTTCTGTTTGCCCGATCATGACAAGGAGCACACGATGGATGTGACCGGACGACAAGGAATACTTACTCCTCCATGGCACCTGATCCCACGTCTGATGTTATTAGAGGTCCATGTTTGCTCTGCTTCCGATTTGTATTGTTTCAATTGACTTTTGACCTTGATATTTGTTCGTTATCTCCATAACGAAAGAATTCAAAGAATTTTTCAAATCCCTTTGTAAAAAGAGAATAAAACGCCAACATACGTGTAATTAAAGAAACAGCTATTGTCAGCTTTAGCGACTCAACATATTCCTGATCCATGCCGTAGGTTTAAACACTGCACACACAGGAAAGAAATACTGAAGGTATGGCTAAGTATGTAATTGGGCGTGCAAAAATAAGGTTGATTTTCCGCCAGGGAAAAAAGTTGAAACATAATACTCTGTGTTAGGCATGCTCATCTAATAATGATGATCGTGTTAAGAAAAAAATCAGTGGACATTTAAAACCAATGCGGCACGAAAAGCTGTCAAAGGAAAATGGCAATGTCATTTCTGTGGGTCGTTTAGATTGGTAAGTCGGTCCTTATTTATTTTCAATTATTTATTTGGTCGCCCGCGAGGTGTTGTGGTTAGAGCGTCTGCTCTAGAGTCGTGGAGTAAGGAATTAATCCTTACTTCGCGGGTTCGAATCCCACTGTGGGACGTGGAGAACGGCCCTTCGGATGAGACCGTATAAACCGAGGTCCCGTGTCGCAGTAGGTGCTGGCACGAAAAAGATCCCTCACTGCTCAATGGCCCTAAGTGTCGAGTATGGGTCAAAAATTTGCAGCTCTCCACCGGCAAGTGGTGGCATCTCTTTATGAGTGAAAAATTCTCGAGAGGGACGTTAAACAAACAAACAAACGATTATTTATTTGCATTGTTTGGTTTGTGTTTTGAATTTGATAAACGTTCGGGTCTGTCTTTCCTTACGATACAGCGAACTGTGCAGTCTAAAAAATGCAAATAGAATGAAAAGTAATTGTACTAAATTTCATTTACACATGTTTTTTCATGAATTCCTGTATGCTTCTTTTTCATTTGGATTATGTTATCCATGTAACATTTTATACAAATATATCAATTTTCTGAAATGGACATGAAAAATTTTATATGTGTTATTTTATTTATTTATTTATTTATTGGATTCCTTCAAGTATCATTGAAGTAAATGGCTTTCATTTACCAGAAAAAAATCAGAATCTCGGAAGTCTGAATAATTACTATAAGATTAACACTACTATTTCAGAAATATATAACATCTTAATAATTTCAAGAAAGGGAACTTAGAGAGTGCAGGTCAACTATGAAAATATAACATTGAATAAACAAGCCAATCGAAGATACATAACTTTGACATATCACAAAAAGATTCTGCATCCGGATGTTTGGATTCTCTTGCAAATTTACATCATTTTTTCTTGCCACAGATTCACCCCTCCCCCAATTATTTGTTCTTTTATTTTCTATAAAACTTCATTTAAGTCTGGTTTTCTTATATATTTTGGGGAAAGACAGACATACTTAGAGACTGACAGAGAAATTGGTGGACGTACATATAAACACAGGGAAAACATGATTTTCTTGTAAATTTGTTGGGGATCTGCGGTTTAGCGGAGTGCGAACAGTTGTTTTTAAATCCCAAGCCAATTAAGGTTGTGTAACATCAAGGGATCTGTTTTAAACTTCCCGGTGTAAAAAGTATCTGTGTGTTCGATCTCTTATTCTTTAAGATTTTTATCTGTAAGGCTTAGCTAAAAAAAAGAATAATCAAAGAAAGATCTTTAATCCATAATAATAAATTGCTTCTTATTTTATGACTACTAGAAGTACCGGTATCTCGGATGTCAATTTCGTGCAAAATAGTTCATTTGTTATCATGCTTATCAGTCTTTAATATATAGCAATATGCTGCAACAAAGTAAACCCAATTAAATAAGATACTAGAGTATCTTAATGATAAATACATAAATGTGTTGTCAAACGATGTATTGGAAACCATTGAAACGCCTGACATGAATACGGTATTTTGGCGTGCCATGTACTTCACCTAATGTTCAATTTCTTGCCTTTAATTTGAGAACATATCTAAAACTATTTGATACTAATTCTATACATGTATTCATACAGTTTTAAAAAATCATTTTATTTCACCCAAAATATTTGGTTTCATCAATTCCAATGGTTTTGAATAACTCTAACAAATAAATATTCGAATTTTTAGCTTGTCAAAGAGCATTCTACACTTTTAATAATTTTTTACACTAATTATTTTTTTTAATAACCTCATTTAAATTGTAATAATTAAGCATATCATGAATACACATTTTACAAACATTTATGCATTTGAGCTATGTACATATTATATACCTCTAAGTCAATATAATGTTTCAGTTTTTTTTTCAATTGGAAGTTCCGAATAATGCACATTTTACTCTTGTAGATGCTGTAAGCTAGCACCGATCGTCACCTGTTCCAGTCACTATGAAATCTATAGGGTGAGTAATTTATGTTTTGTTAAACGTTAGAATTTAAAGAAATGTATCTTGTTTGAGGACATAATTTTGTGTATTTTCATTATATATTGTTTTCACGTTTTATTCAACATTACTGATTGAAATCTAATCCCCACCTGTTCTTAGCTCTTCTAGGCGAAGGCTCACACAGCTAATGCTATGGCCACTTGTGCAGTGTGTGTCAGCCATGTGTGTTTTTGGAATATGGTCCATATCTCAAGAACCCCTTGGCCAATTTTCGTCAGATTTGTCAGAGAGTATACTTGGCCCAAAGGCTATCATTTTTACTAAAATAGGTTTGTTACCCTCAAACGAAGGGAGATTTTGGGAAATACAAACAAAAATAGTGGTTGCTCAAATTCTTTTCAAGAACCTCTGGGCAGATTATTACCAAACTTACACATAAGGATGAGAATATGTTGTAGATTAAAAATTCTTCAACGCATCAACCTGGGGCAAGGGGCATAGTCTTAAGGTCACTTCAAAGTTGTCCTAAAATGATGTTTTGTCAAAACTTTGATACCTTGCCAATTGAAGGACTAAGATCGTCAAATATTGTCAATTGATGCTACTTAGGAGTTTTTGTAATGATGACTCAATTAAAAGTAGGTCATGGTGACCTACTTTTTTAAAATTTTGCAGGTATTCATTTTCAAATTGATTTTGATGCATATTTTGGAATTTATGTTCATCAAACCTTGTCAGGTGATGCATCATGGGGAATAGAAGTGTGTCAACCAAAATGTAGGTCACTATGAGTACTTTCAATGATCCCCTAATGTGACCCCACCCTATCACCATGAACCATGATTTGAACAATTTAGAATCTACACTTCCTCAAGAAGCTTTCACTTAAGTTTCATCTCTTCTGGCCCAGTGCATGGTTCTTGAAAAGAAAATTTTTAAAGCATTTTTTTCTAATTATTTCAATGTAAAACCTCGATATCCTATTGTGGCTCCATTCTACCCAGGTGGGCAATGACTTGAGGAATTTAAAGCCTACACTACGTCAGGAAGTTTTCTTCAAGATTCAAGATTCATCTCTTCTGGCCCAGTGGTTCTTTAGAAAAGGATTTTTTAATGAACCCACCATATTTTTTACCCTTTCTTGATTATCTCCCCTTAGGACTTGTCCTTTTATTTCAACATTAAAAATTACCTTTACCCAAAGATGCTTTGCGTCAAATTTGTTTAAATTGGCCCGTGGTTCTTGAGAAGAAGTCAAAAATGTAAAAAGTTTACGTACGGACAAACTGACGGACAGACGGACGGACAGCCGCCGGACACCTGGTGATCAGAAAGCTCAGTTGAGCTAAATAGGTAGGCCACAGTGACTTACTTTTAGAATATCATGGCTATATTTAAATATTTCAGAATCTAAGTGGCGTAGAATCATTAAATTTTGTCAGTTGATCCATCTTGGCCCTTCGGAATGTGTCAACCAAAAAGTAGATTACCATGACCTAATTTCTGAACTTTATGGCTAATTATTTCAAACATTTATGTTCATTATTTAGGATACTGTGAGGTTCAAAATCATCAAACCTTGTAACTTGTTGCATCATGGGGCCTTGAAACATATTTATGTAGGTCACTGTGAACTACTTTTTGAATTTTGCAAGTACATGTGCATTCATTTTGAAATATGCATATTTTGGACACTGTGAAGCATACGACTATCCAAACTTGTTAATTAATGCATCCTAAGACCTCGGAGTATATTAATAAAAGAGGAGGTCACAGCGAACTACTTTTGGAATATATGGCTATATTTATAAATTTCAGATAATAAGTGGCTTAGAATCATAAAACATTGTCGGTTGATGCATCTTGCGGAAACTAGAAAGTAGGTCACCGTGATTTTTGTTTTGGAAATTCACACCTTCATCTTAATATTTAGGACACTAAGAAGCTTAGAAACAAACGTTGTATGTTGACTCATTGGATCCTCAGCTTGTGTCAACCAAAAAGTAGGTCACCAATAACCTACTTTTGGAATAAAACTATATCTAAATATTTCAGATAATAAGAAGCTTGGAATCATCCGTCTTTGTCAGTTGATGCATCTTAAATTCTCAGAGTGTGTTAATCAAAAGATAGGTCATTGTGACCTACTATTGGAATTTCAAGACTTTATCTAAATATTTACGATATTGAGAGACTTAGAGTAGAAGTGATAAAGTTGCACAATTTATCAGAAGAGCGATTCAAGGCACTTGGCCTCTTGCTTTTCTCAGTTCGGTTTCAAAGTTTCAAAAATGTTTAATAAATTGAAGATGAGATTATAACACTATGTCACCAGAAATAAATAAATTAAGTATGTAAATAAATAAGTATTAAACAATTTGCTTTTCATTTTATATTCGAAATATCTATAAATTACTCTTCTCTTTTCATTAAGTTGACTACAGTCATGAGTGTTTTTTAAATATTATAAAACTGCTGATTTTCTACAAAATAAAGGTAATTGGGTTTCGTGATTAGACCTGTTTACTAGTATTCCGGCTTCGTCTTAGAAAAAAAAGACAATATATGGGGACGCGAACCTTGGCAAGCCCCTTCATGGTAAACTAGAACTGTACATTGTATAAACAAAACATTGGACCATATCTTCTAGTAATGACATGATTTCATTATTTTTAAACAAATACTAATGTTTTTCTACTTACAGAACACGCATATTGGACGTTTTTACATATGCTCCAGGGTCTTATAGAAAGAATGCATATGCTTTGCCTGTTAATATCATCATCATGTGCATGATTCTAGTCAGAGTAAGGTGTTATAACAAATACAGATTGGAATAGAATAATTCCCTCTGAATTTGAAAAACAGAAATTCTTCATACTGCTAATGATTTATTTCACACCTTAAAACATGCAAAATTTAAAAAGAACAGCTTAAAAGTCGATACTTTCATTTCAAATCATTTTAATAACATTCCCTGTTTCTGCAGTGTATATCTGTTGGTTACTTTGTTATGGGACTGGTCTGGAAGCTCCATACAGGACTAATTCAAGACAGCTGGATTGATATCCTAAATCGACTGTGGATTGGAAACTTAAGACTGGGAATTACAGTTAATGCTTTAGTGTTGACCTCTGTGTCTCTGTTTCCAGTATATGTGATTTCTTGCGCCTTGGGAATGTTAGGAATATTCTGTAGAAAAAGGATATTTGTTATCTTGGTATGAAACATATATTAAATTAGTTTTTAAAGATAAATGTTGAAATGAATAATGATGAACAGTACAAGTGCCCTTATTTATATTTTTATGTGTTATAAGTAGGGTTAGCAATCGAATACAGAATTGCCAATCGGTTAACCGCAAAATGTTCCGACCGATTAACCGGTTAATTGTATCAAAATACTAGTACCAGTAAAAATACAGTTTCTTGTTTCTTTTTTCAAGTTAGCTTTATTCCTCTTTTGATATATACACAAGAAGACTGTAAAAAACGCAAGCATTATATGCTTCTTCAGAACACATTTATTTAGAAAAGCCGTGAAACATGACTGCGATATCAAAGACATTGACAATTTTTGAGACCAGATGTGACACAATTTTATTCTGCACTTTCTTTATCTAACTATCACTAAATTTACAATGTTTAATTACATAATTTGATAAATAACTAGAAAGGAAAGACGGGTTAATATACACCTTATAATCTGCTCACAGTGATCAACGGTGGATTAATATTATAAAGGAAATAGAGAAAAGGCTGATAACGACATTGATAACACTTCACAAACTGACCAATTACTATCTCAATCCGGAGCGCCTAAATTACTTCCAAATTAACGTGAAAATGCCAACTTATCCACACTGAGAGGGTCTTGTAAAATAAAATATTGAATTCTATGGAAATCGCATTTAACTTTACATATATTTTAATTTTTCCGATTAACCGATTACAGATGTTCCAACCGATTACCATCGTCCCAACTCAGTTAACCGATTACAGATTGCCATCTCTAGTTATAAATCTTGAAGTTATCATAAGGAAATCTTATCCACATGTTTGTATCCCCCTCAAAATTGATACATCTTAATATTCAAGATGAGACTAGTTATATAATTTCATTTCTTTACAGTATATGCTGTCCTTGCTAATTTTCCTTGGTACAGACATGATATACATCTCTATATTTAGTATACTTCTAGATGAAGTAAGTATCTGTTTATACACGACAATAATTTGATTTTAAAATATCGTACTTAGTGTATCACACTCTTTTGTTAGATGGAGTCCTCTTCACTTCCTGCAGATTTCCAGTCAATTTTCCATGAGCGAATAAACTATCCCGATTCGCCAAAAGAAGCCATTGGAGATTGGATGACATTTTTTTCCACGGTACTCCTATATTGTCATCCTAAATTAAGTTTCAATTTACTGAGTACTGAATAATTAGTCATTACTTAAAATAATTGCGGAAAATTAATAACCCGCGTAGGAAGGTTCTTATTTTCTTCTGCAATGGCTGTAACCTTTAATCCCGCGTTTTCAAAGAGAGAGACAAATAATTGTTTATATTAAAGTCTGCTTGAATAATCGTATAAAGTAGTTTTAAGGTTGGAAATTGTTGTATTATTATTCTGTACTTGATGTTATGTGTTATTGATGGAAAGCACAATGCTTAAGAAATTTTTATAGAGGTGGCTATATAAAAAGACCGGCTCTAACTAGTTAAAATTTAATGAATTGATTAATTGATTTGGTTTTCAAAAGAAATAAAGAAAAAAATATCAGTGGACGTAAATATAGAGACGTACTTTTTTCAATGCTACAATTTTATGAAATCAAATGGTGTAGAACGTAGCAAACTTTCAAAAGGGGAATTACACTGCATGGAAACCTAAATGTTGTCTTTTAAACAAAAAATTTGATGATCCAGATAACTAAAAGAAAACTCGGTAAGTTAAGTTATAAAATGAAAAAAAAATAAAGATAACGAACAGTAATTGATCTCAAAAAAATTACAAACAATAAAAATCTGTGATCAGGGCATAAACACGGACTTCAGAAATACCAGAGGTGGGATCAGGTGGCTAGTAGGAGTAAGCATCCCCTGCTGATCGGTCACACCTGCCGTGAGCCATATGTATTGATTAAGTAGACGGAACATTTCGTAGCCGAATTTAGTATAAAAACGAAGACCTTACAAACGGGCTTTTGCGAGAAGCGCTGACTTTTAAAAATGACGACTTACTTTTACACTAGGACAATATACGGAAGCTCTTTTGCGATATAAACATTAAGCTCGAGTTAATTAAACAATAAAAGTGGACCATTTCAAAGCAAATATTACGTTGTCTAGGAAGGGATCTGCATCCATCCTACCCTCAACCCCTTCCATTCCTACATTGACCAATTCTTGCTAAGTTTTCCTTCCGAAATGTTTTTTCTTCCTTATTTCATTCCTTCAGAAAAATAAGATGGAAAGGAGAGACTGTCCCTCACCAGTAAGTTATTTAAGTTATGTAATTCTGCCTCATATCATCTATTGCGTTGATTGCATAGCGGTAAATCATGTTAATGCCCCTACCACCATATCTATAACCACTATTAAGGTTTTCTTAGCTATTATCAATTCCGTACCTCCGTACATAAGGCATTTTTAAATGCCAAAGTAAGCCGTCGACTGGAAAAGTCAGTGCTTCTCGCAAAAGTCCACTGATCCACAAGGCAGCCAAAATACGACCGACTGATAGGTTAAAAAGCCATAGCGCATTTGATAGGCATTTTCGCCTACTCTAGTGGTGATTTCTTAAATACATTTTTAAACCAAAATTTTGTCATACAATCTTAGTTCAAACATTTGTTAACTCAAATTACACAATAATGATATTTAAATACTAATAATTCCCTTATATGATAAATAAGAAAATCATCGAGTTTGTATGGAAGATATAGTAAATATTGAGTTGTCTATCTAAACGAAGACATACTGTTGCCAAAGACCACCTTTAACCAGAAAAACAACATTTGAATGATTTTACTTAGATATGATTGCGCTTTATTGCATTTAGATAATTTTGGTTGAAGGTGGTCTTCATATTGAAAATGATGAAAATATATATTCAATTTTCCTTCTCATACTACCTTAAGATTTAGTAATCGAGTCGCCATCAATGATTTCGTGGCGCAATGGTATGATTGCTAGAACGTAAATCTGAGATTGCGAGTTCAAGCTCATAATTTTCCATTTATGCCTTTTTAACATTTTTTTCTTGTGCACCTTTTCTAGTATTCTTAATTATTATTTATAATAAACATAATTCAAAAAATATAAAAATATAGTTACACTTTGAAAGTATCTCGGGAAAGGACAGTTCTAACCTATTTCGTTAAATTTTGCAAATTCATAGTTACTTGTTTTATTTTTACTGATTCCCTTAGCCTTTTGTCTCGAAATTAGAGTAATTAACATGTAAAATGATGTTATATGACATACTTGCACCTACGAAAATACAACACTCGTCCACAAATGATATAATATAAGTTGATATCGAGTTGAAAAGATGTATCTATGAATAGAAACGGGTGATTTCCTTTTAAATTCTCGAGTCGGCCGTGTCGTCGGTAAGGCAGCTGTGGCTCTTTGCTAACAAGGCCATTATAACGACCATAGAATTTACGAAATGCTGACTTTAAACGAGATTGTTGTAATTCCTTTAACACCAACTTATCTGTATGTATCCTTCCTCGTTTAAAAACTGGCTGTACTCAGAGCATGCTCTTGAGTACGTACGTATCCAGTAAGCTTTGAGACATAAACATCATATGCAGGTGATAGAGGAATATTACTATATGAATAAGGAGAGTTGAAGATGGAAAAGCTGAAGTCATCTTCTCGTTTGTCAAACAATTTAGTTGTTAGTTGGCCCTTATCGTCTATAGTCGGTAAAACATCCAAATAGGAAAAAGATGTAGTGTTTACTTGTTTCAAGTTTACTGGGATATATCGATTCGACATATGAAAGGAACTATTGCTAATTGACAAAACATCGTTGATGTATCTGAATGTCGAGTTGAAGGCCACGGCAAGTGTTTTTTTTTTTTTTTTTTTTTTTCTCGTGTAGAAGTTTTTGAACAAATTCTGCAACATAGGAATATAAAAACAATTAGTGTCCATCAGAGTTCCAACAGTTTGTTGTAAGACTTGGTCTCCCAAGGCTACATAAATGCCCATTTACGACAATTTGTTTTATTTTATATTTTGCAAAAAAAAAACAAAAAAAAAAAAAAAAAAACAGAGCAGAGTAGACATGGATGGAGATAATAAATTATATTGAGGAAAATAAAAGACAATGGTATAAATGTTGTCAATGAGGAACTCCATCGTCCTTTAATATCATCATCAGAGAACTTACTACTTTGTCAACGACGACAGATCTAGCTACTAGTATTTATAAATATAAACTTAGTATTCAAAACAATTCATAAATATGAGGGGAGCACAGCTCAAAGAAATTAATTCGGATATTATGATGCTAGTAAATAAATATAACTCAGAATTAAGGCACACTGACATTGCAATTGGGTCTTAGAGAAAATTTTGCATGTATATACGTTGCTGGGTGTCGAGCGTGGTCATTTATTTTTCGATCATAATTTTTTGTTTCAACGTTCACTTGTAATACTTGATGTCTTAAATATTGACATTAGTGGGTTTTTTTTTAAACTCAATCATATAAATAACAAATTTATGCAATTTCCGACTTTAAGACACTTTCAATTTGCTGTCGTCTATCAAATTAGCAAATAAGTTTAAAGTTAGGTTAAGAGATGAGACGAAGTAGGGTTTTAAACTTTACAAATTTAAAAATATTCACACAAAAAAGATTACCTACAAAATATTTCATGATCTTCATATGAATTGCATTTTTACAAAAATGTTTCTCTCAATAGTGTAGATTCCAAAGCATAGCCAATGGATTCAAAATAAGTATGATATGAAGAGATTTAATCTCAGACAATAGGAAGAGTAATGATGTATTATCACAACATAAAATTAAAAATATATGAGATGTATATGAAATAAATATTTAGTGTAATACCTATTAAATTCATATTAGAAAACATAATAAAGCACTGCTTCCTAAGTCAGAATATCACAAAATATGTACTTGCAAGAAAAGAATTCATCCATTAGCAAGAGTTGTCTTTCTTATGAATATTTTTTTCAATAAAAAATGAATTTTTTTCAATGGGAAAAATGTATTTTTTCAATGGGAAAAAATGTATTTTTCCAATGAAAAAAATGTAATACTCATAAAAATTCTACATTTGGTACTTGATACATTAAAGCATTTTAAAATAATCCATAAAAAGATTGAACTTATTCAATTTGTAAGGGTTTAAAAACTGGATTTTTTTTTGTCAAATATAATAAAACAATTTGAAAAGTATAGGCAAAAGAAAATAAAAGTTTCCCTTTCTAGAAACTAACGTGACTGAAAAGTCAAATGAGATAGGAGAACTGCCACACAAACCGTATCTGGATTTTTTTTTTTCAAAGCAAAATATATAAGGATTGAAATCTCTGCATTTTTTTTTAAAAAAGCAGGGCTTCAGATTGTTATTACTGGTGACGTAAATAAAGTTAATAATGAGGACCTTAGATCATTAATTTTAAAAGGTCCTAAATATAGGGAACCCAGATCCTTCATCTTGCGTCGGAATTTCATAAATATTATGGATTCTGTAGAGGTTTACGTCAGACGATGGGCCAGACATGAAAAAGAAGACCTTGACACAATGTCAGAATGGATTAAATGTATCAGATGTATGTTAAAATCGCGCATTAAAAGATTGAGGGGCAATATGAGAACCATCTATCCTTCTGTATTCAATAATCCAGAAGTGAAAAAAGAATTAGATAGATTACATGATCAGTACATACGGGTCCCTGCTGACAAAGCAGGTAACAACATTGTCTTTGTTTGTAAGGCTCATAATATTTTATGTATTTTGGAGGAACTTGGATTTAATTCTACAAGTGGTAATCCAACTTATACTCATAGTTCCCTTTCTAAGGAAGAAATTCTTCAAAATCATGTGTCAGTTTTGAATATTTTTAATATTCCAAACAACCAAAATGAATTTGAATTACTATATCTATATTGGATTCCGAAACTTCATAAAAATCCTTACAAACAAAGATACATAGCGGGTTTCAGTAAATGTTCAACCAAGCCTCTTTCTTTACTCCTCACAGTTATTACAGTACTGAAAGAGAAACTTCAAGAGTACTGTGCAACAATATATTCGAGAAGTGGTGTAAATCAGATGTGGATACTTAAAAATTCCAAGGAACTTTCGGAAGATTTGAAATCACAATATTTTACCAAAATCAACAGCTTAAAAACTTATGACTTTTCAACTTTATACACAACCATTCCCCACGATGAATTAAAGTCCAGGCTTTTTGATATCATTGATAGCTGCTTTTTCAATAAAAATGGAACTCGTAAATTTACTTACCTTGTCATTTGACATTTGCAAAATTATTTTGTTAAAAAATATTCTGATTGTACACACAAGTACTCTGAAGTTGACATTAAAAAGATGCTTGAGTTTCTGATTGACAATATCTATGTGGTTTTTGGAGACCAGGTCTTCCAACAATCTATTGGAATTCCCATGGGTACCAATTGTGCCCCGTTATGAGCAGACCTTTTTTGTATTCATATGAAGCAGAATTTGTCCAAAATCTTATCCGTGAAAAGAAGAAAACACTTGCTGTGGCCTTCAACTCAACATTTAGATATATCGACGACGTATTGTCAATTAACAATGGTTATTTCCATTCTTATGTTGATACGATATATCCCGGTGAGCTTGAGATAAAAGATAACACATTCTGACACATCTGTTTCATATTTGGATATTTTACTTGAAAAAGACGTTAATGGTAATCTAACAACCAAGCTTTATGATAAACGTGATTACTTTAACTTTTCAATCGTCAACTTCCCTTACTTATGCAGCAATATACCTTCATCACCTGCATACGGGGTTTATATTTCTCAGTTGATTCGATACGCAAAAGCATGCTCTACGTATGTACAATTTCTAAAACGAGGTAAATTATTGACAAACAAGTTGATGAAACAAGAATATCAGCAGTTCTATGGTCGATACAATGACCTTGTCAGCAAATACAGTTTATCATTGAGTCAAATGCTGACTGACGTTTTTCATACTAATTGTTAGGCCATTATTTACAAACTGAATTGTCGACGGATTTTACAGTTATTTCTCGATCATGACAAGGAGCACACTGTGGGTGTGACCGGTCGGCAGGGGATGTTCACTCCTCCATGGCACCTTATCCCACCTCTAATGTTTTGGAGGTCCGTGTTTGCTCTGCTCCTATTTTGCATTGTTTAATGGACTTTTGAGCTTGAATACAGTTCGTTATCCCCATATATTTCATTGTCAATTTAAGTAACAAGCTCCTCGTATGATGTAGACATAAAATTGTTCCAACAATGACAAGAATGTTCCAAACTTTTATAAAGAGAAATTTAAAAAAAATATTGTATTTGATTCTTCTTTTCAAGAATCGACTATATTCAATCATATTACATCTGAAACCTTTTTTCCAAATACTAATCTCATCGTCTTGGATGAGGCCACCATAAAGGTCTCAGCTTTACGAAGAAATATATTTGCTTTGTGTCAAAAAAGCATGACATCAAAATAAAATATGTAAACGCAAATTTATTCTAATTCATGTTGCTGTAGATACTAATATGCATGTTTATTTCCGTATATCGGATTAGTTGGGATGCTGTGGTATTACAAGTAATCTGGGTAGTCATTGGTGTTCGGGTTACGATTTGGTGAGTTAAACCACTTCTATATAATTGAAAATTTAAGATTTCATTAACTATCGCTCTCTTTTTGGATATAAATTTTTGTATGGAATACTGATACTTCTCATTACTTAACACATCCTTTAACTCTTTAAGACCTGCTGGGAGAAATTCTCCAGAAAGATGATATCATACTGTTCATCTTTTCTAAGCCTTGCTGTTCTATGTCTTTTATTAGAGGTATGTAAAATACAATATTTATCCAGTGATTTTTTTAAAATCTTGATGAAAACTTAAAACACACACACACACACTTTTTCTGGTGAGGTTTAATTCAAATATATTTAAGTTTTTTTTTCTTTCTTGTGGAAAATGAAATGTAGTGTGTATATACAGTGCTTACACAATATGATGTATATTTTTGCTTGATACATCTTTCAGCTTATTCAGCTCGGTTTTTGTGACATTATCTACAGTAATCTCTCTGGACAGAAACTACCATTTGCTCTAGCAAGAACTTGTTTATCAAAGATAATAACAGCGTGGCAAAGGTAGGGAAAACATGATTGATAAATTTTAGAAAGCAACTTTATCCTTTTCGTTCGTTTGTTTTTGTTTTCTTTTTATTGTTTTATTTATTGTTTTATTTTTATTAAGGTAAAACTTTATAATTTAAACATTTTTTTTTTAAATGTAGTTAACTTTTACAGTATCTACATGTATTTAAATGATAAATCGATTATAGCATGTTTTACAATGGTTCTTTTGTAAATGTCTTTCAAATAGCTTCGCACTTTTGTATCTTTATAATCCACAAAACAAAGTTTTAATTTCAATGTATTCCTGAATTGTATTAATCGGTTCGTAATTTAGATGAATGCATTGACACTCAATATAAATTTTCTGTAAAATATTTTCACACTCCTACTCTACTTACTATTTATTTATTATCAATCTATATCAAGGTTTACAATACATAGTGTCTATATGTCAGAAATATTTCTAGAATATTACTAACAATACAATTTTGATTGGATTTCATTAAAACTTACAACACAAAGACATTTTTTAAAAATACGTAATTCTGTGTTAGTAATGGTTAATATTCATGAAAAATTGAAAAAAGCCTGATTTTTCAGGTCATGGTCATGTGTCATCGCTAATATTTGGAGATTGCTATCATGCGTAAGTAGCCGTGAGACCTTTCTCCTGTATGTTACATGTAATATTTCAAAAATTTCTATCGTTGTTGTCGTTTTAAAATTTGTGTAACAAGGAATGGAGATTTTGTTTTCCCGAACAAACATCCTTTTCAAACCAGTAATTCTCTTCTTAAATGAACTTCGAAGTTAAGATTTTTCACTTCTATAAACCAGACATTATCTTCACTCACACGATTATCAGTTTTTCTCCTACATGATAAACTCTTTCATCCACTGTTTCATGAAATTAATACAGCTTCCTTCAATTGGACTTGTGACTTTGGGTGCAATGTTACTCAACGATAGCCAGATGAGAGGATCATTTGTAGATCCTATCTATGTACATATCTACATCCTGGGACTTAACTTTATGGACATTATCAGGGGACTCGGTGTTCTAATGATCACCCTTGGAGTTTTGGAGTTCATTGCAAACATTTCAGCGGTCATCGCTGACTGTGTAGTACAAAACAAGACTAAGAGTGGAATGGTGATGTATCTTGTTATCTAAATTTGCCCAGTGAATAAAAATATATTGTTACTATAATTCAGGCAACTGTGTTAAATTATACATGGTGTTAGTTCGGTCAAATTAGTTGCTTTGCCATTTTCTACTATTGAAAACTACTGAATACTTCTTGCTACATTTTTATAGCTAATTTAATAACGTCCTAGCTCGAGTAGTTAATCATACTCCACTAAAGAAGTTATATAGAATCAGATGTATCAAAGGTCTGAGATCTTATAATATTATTTCAAACAGTTTGTACATGTATATTACTGAATGAGGAAATGGAATAAATAATCTATAATGAAGCATCTCTTTCCGTTTTCAAGGTAATCGTTATAACAGGTATTTTGCTGTCTCTGAAGATTGTCTGGCTTGGTGTGTGTATAAAGTTGGTCCTTCAGGTAATTCAAAGTTAGCATACATGTACATCATTTTACTGATGCATGAATGCATGGAATAGAATTTGTATATACTTAAACAACCCTAAAAGGCAAGGAGTTATGAGAGCAGGTCTCATTTTTTACCACAGATTCCTATTTTTTTCTTTTTCCCTTCTTCAAAAAATAAGTTAAAGTTTGTTTAAATTTTTTTCAAAACATTGATATTTTTGCTTTGGAGGAGGGGGGGGGGGGGGTTCAAGGTCAATAATTCTCTTTTCATCTATCTCCAGTCTGACTTTAAATTTGATTTTCACTGGTTTTGATTTGCAAAATAAATGTTTTATTATGCGTGAGTGATAAGTGTACCGCTGCAACGCTTAATTATAAGGTTGCAGCGTGACTGAACATTTTTATTTATCTCAGTCGAGTTTGCTTTTGAGAAACATAAACCTCTCCTTGTTTTGGATTAAGTAAATCCATTTTTTAAGTTATTGATATATACGAGTAACATGTACTTAGACGGGTGAGGGGGTATGTGCTTATCATTTACTTTACTGTCAAAGTAGCAGAATAGTATTTTTCTTACTCAAACGTTTTTGTAAATGCAGATGAACGACGATCTTCGAATTCAACTGACCAATTTACTGAGAAGTTTTTCATACATCAGAGGACAGTGGTTTTATTTATTTGGTGAAGTGAGTACAGTCATCTTTGTTTTTAATTGAAAACAAGAGGCCCATTGACCCATACACTAACATGAGTCACCTTTCTCTTCTGCATAGATAAAACCCTATATTGTGGCTACTGCCTTAAAATTCCCGCATGCATGTGGTTTTAACAATTTTATTAAGTCTCCATTATTCTGAATAAATGCGTGTTTCAGTAAAAAGTGTGGAAACCCTCCTGACGACTTTTCATCTAAATCAGTGGTATTTTGCATAAATAACATACTAAGCACGAAGAATTCCAAATACATAATATTTTGTTGATATGAAAAAGGTGAAGATAATGAACAGTGATCGATCTATAAAAAAATCTACAGGCCACACAAATCTGTGAACAGGACATAAAACTCGGAACCCGGAAATTCCAGAGGTGTGATAAGGTGCCTAGGAGGCGTAAGCATCCCCTGTTGACCTTTCACACACGCTATGAGCCGTATGTATTAATTAGGTAGACGGAACATTCCGAAGTCAAATTTAGCATAAAACAAAGGCCTAACAATTGGTATGAAAAACGTCAGCCAAAGTACGACTCAATGATAGGTTATAATTGCTAATAAGTCATTATAACGACCATAAAATTTACGAAATGCTGACTTTAAACAAGTTGTTGAAATCCCTGTAACATCAACTTATCTTTTAGTATTCTGCCTAAGTTTAAAAATTTATCATACTCGGAGTTTTCTCTTAAGTATAGAAAAGGTTGGGAGATGTGAACACCATATGCAGGTGACAGCGGGATATTACTACTTAAATAAGAAAAGTTGACGATTGAAAAGCTGAAGTCATCTTGTTTGTTATACAATTTAGTTGTTAGTGGCCCTTATCGTCTATAGTCAGTAAAACACTCAAATATGAAACAAATGTGGTAGAATCTGTGGTGTCTTTTATTTCAAATTCAATGGGATATATCGAATCGACGTATGAATGGACGTAACAATTGTTAATTGATAAAACGTCGTCGATATATCTAAATATCGAGATGAAGGCCACAACAAGTGTCTTTTTTCATGTAGAAGTTTCTGAATAAATGTTGCTTCTTAAGAATTTAAAAATTTTTGTCTATGAAATCAAAAAGCCTAGATTTTAATTTATCGTTAGGAATGGTGTATAAAGTGTAGATTTTCCTAAACACTTTATATACATATACCTATATAAAACTTCCATTCCTATTGTGCCCCTATTGTGGACCAAGGGACAATGATTTGAATTAAAATCTACTCTTTATGGAAATGCTTGTGTAATAATTTGAAGGTTATAAAGGATTACACATCAGTGGTCTATTACCCAACGATTCATGAGAATATCTTTTAAATTGATGACGTAAACTCATGTGGGCTTTGAACATTGGTTAAGTTCTGTATTTGAACAATTTTAAGCCTGTGAAACCAGAGAAACTGTAGCAAGTAGAAGTCGCACTGTAGTTCGTACTGGAAAATTTTAAAATTACCTGCTTTCATCGGAAATTCACCGGGGGATGTTAGATAAAACAAAGGCACGAGTCTGAGGAGCGTATATGTTTTAATTTCACTTTATTCAGTTTTCATTTTTTCTTCTTTTTTTGTATTTTTTTAAATGGTTTTGTTTTGTTTGTTTGTTTGGGTTTTTTTTGTTTGTTTGTTTGTTTGTTTTTTTTTTTTTTGAAGAGTGTATATGATTACACCATGTTTTACATTTTTTTTTCATTTCTATTCTATTTCTAGCTGCAGTGTTGTGGACTGAACTCTAGCAATGATTTTTGTACTCTGAGTTCTTCTTGCTCTTCAGGACAACTTCCACATACATGTTGTCACACACTCTACCAAACTCAGACAAGCTACATATACTCCAATACTTGGTGCTATTCTGTACAAATGGTAAAATTTTTGTATCAATCGTTAAACTTTCAATCACCTTCCAGGTTTATTTCCCTATTTTGTTCAACATCTTTGTTTAATGTCATACCTTTAAGCTTTAAATTTACTAGAAAAGTCATTAAGTAAGTAAATTTGCACAGACTTGAATTTGTTTAACTAGTCGCTTTACTCTCATTAAAATGAAAAAAAAGAAAGGCTAATAAATTTTAGATGTCTTAGTTATGATTATACTTGAATTTAAAGTTTTCCCCCATATAAATATATAAATCCTATATTGCAAAGCAAGCAAAAAGTAAATATTCACTTGGAGATCTGACATAATATCTGTAAAACACATTAGAAATTACTGGAGATGGGAAAATCAAAACAAAACTCAAAAAATATCCCATCTATATAACCTGAAACAAATAAAATAGATATGTGAGTTTTTTAATTGTAGGGTTGCCTTGATAAAATACAGAATATTATTGGGTTTTATACCACCGGCTTTTTTATTGCCATCTCCATTTCAATTCTTTTTGAGGTAAGTGATTAAAAAATTAAAAACATGAAGTTAAAAACGTCACTACAACTTAATTTTATGTAATTACCTGCTATATTTCAGGGATTATCTGTTTTGTTCACAATTTTCCAAATACGTTCTATGCCTTCAAAAGATGTTCACGACAATCACAATCTACAGAACAATTCCTCTGATGAATCCAGAGATGAGGAAAACAAAGGCATCTGCAAACAATGTTTTCAGTATTGCAAAAGGTAAATTAATTACATGCATGAGTACATGGACACCTGTTAAAAGGACACTTAATTATTCCTTCTCAAACACAAATTCTCCATTTAGGTCACCTGAGTCACTCAGGTGACCTATTGCTATCTGTCTTTGTCTGTCGACGTTCGTCGTGCGTCAGTCAAAATCTTTTGAACATTTTCAGCTTCTTCTCTTGAACCACTGCACTGATTCAACCAAGTTTGGCATATAGCATCAATGGATGAAGGGGAGTTATGAATTTCATGGTCGTGCCCCCTTTGGCCTGAGGAATGGGGCTAAAACCATCTAAATTAGTGCTGTTTTAGTGCTCTCTTCAAAATCTTCTTTTTTACTCCTGGACACCAAGCAGGCAAACAATTGATACGATTGTGTAACCTTTTTTTGCAGAAAAACATGCAGCAGAACTACGATAACTTATTTCAAAAAGCAAGTATTTCGATATACGTGTACTTTATAAATTAATTTTGTTCAATTTGGGAGGCAATTGGCCATAAAGGGACCGAGGTAGGCGGTGGAACATTAAAATAGATTCTCTTAAATGAAAAAGGTGACGATAACGAACAGTGAATCTACAAACAAAATAAATAAAGAATTAAAAAGACTTCAATTTCTTAAAACATTATGTACTACAGATTCAAACTTGTGCACTTCTTATCCACTAAGATCATGACAAATCACAATATGAGGGTATAAATTCAAGTGTTTGTCTCAGAAAAAAACCAAGAAAATCGAAAAAATTAATAACAAGAGGGTCTGAAACATTTCATTAATGACTGTATTTTCATGTCACCTCAGTCACTCAGGTGACATATTGCTATCTGATTTCATCCGTTGTGATCCGTCGTGCGATGTGTATCGTGCAATAGCATTTGAACATTTTCAGCTTCTTCTCTGGAACCACTGAACCAATTTCAGTTAATTTTGGCATAAAGTATCTATAGATGAAGGTGTTCAAAAACTATGAATTTCATGTTCCTTGCCTCCCTGAGGCCTGAGGGGTAGGGCTAAAACCACCAAAACGAATGCAATCTTTAAAAATCTTTTTCTTCTTAACTCCTGGACATCAAGCTGTCAAACTGTTAGCATGATTGTAATAAATCTTCTACCAAAATTGTGAAATTCATGGCTCAGGGATTTTGTTTTAGTGTGATGCTCTTCTTCTCTGCCCCTAATATTTAGCAGATCAATAGAAGCGTGGTTATGATGCCTCTTCCAAAGTTGTGAAATTCAAGGCCCCAGGGTGAGGGGTTCTGGTGTTTAGGAGCTCTGTTGATTTTATCGTGAAAATGCATTATTTCTTTGTAGATCTTCTTCTTTGCTCATGCTTCTTAAGCAAAAAAAAAAAAAAGATGTGTTTGTGAAACACTGATTCCCCCGTATGACAGCTTATGTTAGATAACGTTAAAGTTTCTCAAATGCAAGTCAAACTCCAGGTCAAGAGATCAAAAATGTTGGTACCCAAAGGAAGGTTTTGTCTCGAGGAATATACTAGTACCTGTGAAATATGGAAGCCCTAGCACCAACCGTTGAAAAGTTATGACGAAGGTTTAAAGTTTTTTCAAAGTAAGTAAAATGGCGAGGTGAAGGTCAAATGGTGCCCAGGGGAAGGTTTTGTCACAAGTGATACACATTATCCTGAAATGTGAAAGCCCTAAAACCAAACATTCAAATGTTATGGCCAAGGTTAATTTTTTTTAAAAGTCGGTCAAACTCCAAGGTCAAGGTCAATACCAAAATTGTTGGTATCCAAAGGAAGGTTTTCTTACAAGGAATGTACATGTGAAGTATGAAAACCCTAACACCAACTGTTCAAAAGTTCTGACCAAGGTTAAAGATTTTCAAAAGTAGGTCAAACTACATGGTCAAAGGGACAAAGTTGTTGGTATTTTAAGGAAGGTCTTGTCACTAGGAATACACATGTGAAATATGAAAGCCCTAGCACAAATTGTTCAAAAGTTATGGCTAAGGTTAAAGTTTGTCAAAATTAAAGTACCGGTAGGTCAAACTCTAAGGTCAAGGTCAAGAAGTTAAAGTTGTTGGTATCCTAAGAAAGGTCTTGTCACAAGGGATACACATGTGGAATATGAAAGCCCAAACTGTTCAAAAGTCATGGCCAAGGTTAAAGTCTCATAAAATTTTGCAAAAATGAGTCAAACTCCAAGGTCAAGGTCAAAAGGTAAAATATAATTGTACTCAAAGAAAGGTCTTGTCAAAAGGAATACACATATGAAATATGAAAGCCATAGCTTCAATCAATCAAAAGTTATGGGCAAGGTTAAAGTTTTTGCGGACAAACAGACAGACAGATAGACGGACGGACAGGACAAAAACTATATGCCCCCGAATCTTCGATTACGGGGGAATAAAAACAACTTAGTGAATGGTTATAATGTGCAAGGTCGCCTCTTCTATCAATGTGAATTTCATGGCCTGCGAGTCAGGTTTTCTGGTTTAAGGGCTAGGCTCTATTGATTATATAGCAAAAATGCATTAATTCTTCTTTTTTTTTTAAACATCCTCAGCTCTTGCGTATTTAGCAGATAAACTAAGTGCAAAAATATGGTGAGCAGGGGTTCTTCTTCCAAAATTGTGAAAATTTGTTGTCCCAGGGTCAAGGGTCCTGATGTTGGGAGGAGGGACTCTATTGAATATAGAATATATAAAGAAAATCCACTTTGAAAAATCCTCCTCTCTGTTCCTAGGTGTTAAGCATACAAAGTAAGTACATAGTTATGATGAGCAAAAGTGCCTCTTTCAAAATGGTGAAGTTCGTGGTACCTGGATCAGGGGTTATGGTGTTAGTGCTGAGCTCTTGCTCCATAGATCAGATATTGAAAATAAATTCTTTAAATACCTTCCTTTCTGTCCCTTGGTATTTAGCAGACAAATGAATTGCATGGTTATAACGAGCAAGGATGCTTCTCCAAAAAATGTGAAATTTGTGGCCCCAGAGGTTCTGGTGTGTGTCAGGGGTATCTATCAATTATACATAGAAAATGCATTATTACTTTGAAAAATATTCTCTGTTCCAGCGTATCAATCTAAACAAACAAAGTAAGTACAAAGTCATGATGAGCCTCTTCCAAAATTGTGAAATTCATGGCCTATGGGTCAGGGGTTCTGTGTTTGGGCGAGGTTCTATAGATCAGATGTTGAAAGTGCAAAAATTCTTTAAATTTCCTCTTCTTATCCCTTGGTATTTAGCGGACAAACTAATTGCATATTATAGCATATTATTTCATGGTTATTATGAGCAAGGCTGCCTCTTCCAAAATTATGAAATTTATAGCCTCTGGATAAGGAGGTTTGGTGTTAAGGTGGAACTCTCGCCTCGTTTTAGATGCATTAAATATGCTTTCAGTGTCATTTCATATACTTTCTTTAAGGTTTTTTTAATTTCACATTTGTCATGTTTTAAGAAGAAAGATCACCAATATCAAGAACTACGAATTGAAAATTATTCTTTTTTAGTGATTTCCCACGCTTGATTCTGATGGTTGCTGCAGCTCTTTCTGTTGTAAGTATATTTTTTGAAATTGAGTAGTAAAATAGCCTTTCCATATTACAATGTATGTTATAATATTTAAACGTATTTTTTTCAGTTATTCGGTGTCGTTTTCATAATGGAGGGATTAATTCTGAGCTATGATAAAGTTTTTAACCATGATATCATTAAAGATGTCATTTTCAGCGCCCTATCGTTTAACACACTGAGCTTTAATCATATCAGAACATCATTTTGTGCCTTCATGTTTTCTTCCGGAATAATTCTAATTATCTTTTGCGGAATTGGGATGTTCACACTCAGGAAAAAATCAAAATGCTTGCACGTCACAGTAAGTCTAGAGTTTGAATTATTTCTTGTTGATATTGAAAGCATATTTTCCCAAAAATTTGAAACTTATGTTATGAAATAACAACACAAAAAGTACAGCCGGTGATTAAGCATCAGTATAGTATCTGAATATAACAGAGTCAAGTTAATTTTGTTTTTGGTCAGAACTGTACTTTGCATATGTAATTGTATAAGTTTTCATGTGAAAAAGATATCTCCTATGGTCACTGTATTTAGTTCACAGTTCATTAGTACCGAATGTCATATTAAATATACTTTTTGATATTGCAGCAAGCAATTGTTGTCAGCATTGCTTTAGCTTTGATGATCATCGGAACCGGTCTGTGGGGAAAAATAAAAGACACGGTATTAAGCTTCAATCACATAAGATTTAAGATTTAAAGCTAATCATTGGGTTTTATGTAAATATTATTTTTAATAATTTTTTTACTTTACAGATAAGTTACAGAATAGCAGATGAGATGACCTTGTTCCTCTTGAACCATCAATACAACTCACACATATCGTATGTGTATTCATACAGCACCCATGGAGCCTGGAGCAATTTGTTTTCTGTGGTATCTAATGATCTGCATACAGTTATTATACTTTAAACGACAGTCTGAGTATCGAATTGATTTTTTTTAAAATTTATTTCATTTAAAAATTAAGAAAGTGATAAGCTAAGAAATCAGCAAACGTTTATCCCAAGTCGCAAGATACTTCAGTCCTCACAAAGAAAAAATAAGTTTCAATGGACACTAAGAGAGAATTAGTAGGCGTATATCCGTCCTTTAGCATTGTTACGATTTCTATTTCCAGGCAGAATGTTGTGGGGTGGATGACTACGTAGGTAGTGAATTGGTAACTTATCTATCTAGTAACGACAAGATACCCATTTTCTGCTGTAAAGAAAACCCGTTAACGGAACCTTACCAAACTAATAACGATTATTGCACTGATTTAGTAGACCCGGACATGTCTTATAACACGGTGAGCAGACTTTCAAATAATATACCTAAATGAGGTACTTACAAAATAAGTAATAACCTTTCAATTACATATAAAATATTGGTGGACATAGAATGTTTGTATTCTGTGCAGTATTTACACTGAGATCACAGAATATTCTGGAATATATTAGAGGTACATAAAATGATATCTTCTCCCCAGTCCTGTAAAGACGCATTGCTGACAAGACTGGATGCCTACAGCAATACTTTCCTCTCCTGTGGTGGATTAACAATTTTTCTATTGGTATGCATAATATGCTTCTACGAAAAATACCCCTAACTGAATTATGATTAGAAAACTATCAAACTATTGTATTGAATTCCATGGATACGTGTACGAGTATATGTACATATGTAACTAATAAACATCCTTGTGAAAGTCAATTAAAACTGTTTCAATCAATGTAACTTTTCACATACAATCCTTCGGTGAAACTTACTTTTAATGATGGATACATTTCACGTCAGAGATATTTTTTCTTCAGATTATTCAGCTAACTCTCATCATATATCAGTTGAGAAAACGCCAATTTCTACCTCTTCAGTCTGACAAGTACTTCAATCTGTTTAAAACTAAAAGAAAATGGAGGTATGGCATTTCATTTGAAATTCTAATCCATATTTTATAGTTCTTCTCAATCTTGTCTGGATTATAGATTTTTTTTCATACATTAAGACTACTGACATTTTTTTCTAGGAATATCTTTTTAAATATATATGGAAATGCCGCATTATTCAATAATTTGATGTTAATTTGATAATCACTTATAATAAGTTTTTTGATGCATGAAAATTTGATGTAGTCATAGGTTTTTGTCTCATAATTGGAGAAACTATTTTTTTAACTGAACCACTCAAGTGTCTTTTTCCTATCTGTATTCGTCTATCGTCTTGCGCCCTGTGTTTTTGATTTTTGCTCTTTTGCTTTGTTTTTGCTTTTTGAACAATTTCAGCTTCTTTTCTGTGAAGATGAAGCAGTTTTGGTACGAGGTATATATAGGTCAAGGGTACAAAAATATAATTTTCATCGTCCCCGCCTTGTGACGCGGTACACATTGTCGTCGGCGACAACATGTACCTACCTTTACTGCACATGTCGTCCATCGGTACATATTGTCGCAAGCGACAAGCCGAGACGAGCTTTTTTTTCCTTCTGCATAATGGACGACAAAATGCACAGTCGTGCATCGGTACGTACTCTACATCGTTTGCTCATGTATTGGCGTCGGCGACAATATTACTGTGAACATTTGCACATTTTGTCGCCGATAGATTCACACACACACACACACACAGAGAGAGAGAGAGAGAGAGAGAGAGAGAGAGAGAACAGGCAGCTAGAAAAAAGGATAGACAAAGTCCATGGCAGATAGATGAGTTAACAATTTGTATTTATTTATTTAGTATAACTTGCAATACTGTAGGGAGAATAGGTTTTGTCGGAAAATTGTGTCCAGGATGGGTGAATACCACAATGATATGCAAATAAACCGGAATAATTGATTTATCTGATAAATCATCCTATTCTTTTTTTCTTCGTTATATACTTTGAGATTGAATTTTAATTTTTATTTTCAGTAATGATTATTTGGAAAATATTTTATATACACCGATATGATTGAGATTTGGGGTGGACATATTAGCTCATCTGAGCTGAAAGACTTTATAATCACACTCTTTTGTCTCGTCCATCTGTCTGTCCGTCTGAAAACTTTTCAATTTTCGACTTCTTTTCAAGAACTAAAGGGCCCAATTTCAACCAAACTTGCCACAAAGCATCCTAAAGGGAATTCGAGTTTGTTAAAATGAACGACCCTCTTTCAAGAGGAGATATTAATTGAGAATAGTGAAAATCTTTTTCCCAAGAACCACCGTACCAGAAAAATTGAAAAGGTGAATACCTCATTATAAATTGATTCAATTGTGTTCTAATCATGACCCCCGAAAGAAGGGTAGGGCTACAATGGGTGATCAAGTTTTACATAGGAATTTAGACAGAAAATATTTAAAAACCTCTTCTTGTGAACATTAAGCCCATGATTAGTCATATTTATATTGAAGAATTCTCAGGTACATGAAGTGTTTGTTCAAATCATGACTCCAAGAACTAGGGTTGGGTGAATAAAGTTTTACATGGGAATATATAAGAAAATTCTTTTAAAATCTTCTTCTCAAGAACAGCAAAGCAATGATAAGTCATATTTATATGGAAGCATTGTCAGGTATTGCCATGCGACGTGTGCCAATGGACGACAGCATGAGCAATAAGGGTAGGTACAGTCCATATTGTCGCCGGCTACAATAGGAACAAGACCACGATATGTACCGTCACAATTGCGCTGCATGAAATAGCCTACGAGACACGACAGTGTGATTTACACACCAATTACATTCACAAAACTACAGAAAAGTCTTAAAGCAACAATATCGGGGGGACAATAAATACAGTGAGGGTGAGGCACATAATGTCACCGACAAAATGTACATGCGTAACTTTTCAGCCGGCGACAATATGTACCGATGGGCGACAATATGTGCAGTGAGGGTAGGTACATATTGTCACCGACGACAATATGTACAGAATGATAATATGTACCACCACACGCCTCTCTGAGGCCTGCGAGTTGGGACTAAAACCATCAGATTTAATGCAATGTCTAAATATATTCTTTCCCTGGATTCAGGATTTAAGCCCCAGGATGGAGCTAAGTTGGTCATCAAAAATGCATTATCGTAAAAATCTTCTCCTTGAACATCTAGCAGGCAAACTGTTTGCATGATTATAATGAGTACTCTACCTCTTACCGAATTTATGACCCTTGATGTAATTAATCAGTCTTAAGAGTCGGGCTTTCGGACGGAGCTATAATAACTATATTAACCTCATGGGCATTTAGCAGGCAAACTATTTCTATGATAAAAGTAAGTAATTAGCTCTCTTTTAAATTTGTGGAACTCATGACCTTCTGAATTTTTCTATTATTTTACCAAATCTGCAACATCTTCCATTTTAGAGAAGAGTATCTGAGACATAAAAAATCCAAAGAGCAAAATCATTCTATGAAAAAAAAATTTCAACAATATCATACAATCGTTGTACTTTTGTTTGAAGAGAGATTAAGCATTTTACGTTTATTTTGTAGGCAAATTTTAATTCTGGAATGGAAGACATTATTTATTTTCCTTTCGATGGTAAGTCCCTAGTAGAAAAAATCTTTTGATATCACTGGATTTACGGAAAAGTATTAGTTTCTGTTCTTTTACTTATTGTCATTATTGCGCACTCTACTTTTGAATAGCATAATATTGTATATATTTCTGAGGAATTTATTTATTTTATTCTAGTAAAACATTTAATTTCAGTTGTATGCTTAACATACCATATTGAAAAACTATATTATTAAATTTTATATAAATACTTCAAATTGCAAAACATTACTGACCTTCGACTGATGGTTAAAAGCGCGTCTTAGCGTGAAAACATGATGAATAAATTCTGGTGTAATTCAGAAGATTAATGGTTTTTAAGAACACATTTACATACTTCTATTATTTTTTTACTGTTCAATATTTTATTTATTTTTTCCTTAATGTTGCCAATCTGCCTGTTTGTACGCCTTTCAACATTTACTCTCTCCTATCAGACAGCTTGGTTGCTCATTTCGGATCTCAATGACCTCTGCCTAATTTAATATTGAATTTATAGGTTGTTTGGTGCTTGTCAAAGACAATTTAGCGGAAAAAAACCCCAAGTGAAATAGATGTGCAATATTGCAAATCATTTTTATCAATGTTCGCTTTATTTATCAATAAGAGGTATGATTTCGATGAACTATATATGTTGTGAGCTTGCCTTCTGTTTTTGTTTTCGTCGGGCGACGTGAGTTAACATTTGAATATTTTTGGCTTCTTCTCTAGAACCGCTGAACTATTTTAGCGCTCGTTTCATAATTATATAGTTGTTATAAACATGAGTGTTTTATCCAGATTTGTGAAATCCTGGAAAACAGGGTCGAGTGTTCTGGTCTGGGCAGGGCTATACTGATATTCTAGGGAAATTTTTACTCTATTGTTTAAAGTTTTTCCCCTTTCCTCTTCACCTATGATAATTAATTACTGTTAATAATGTAACTGATAAGTCAAATTTAACAAAAGAATCAAACAAGAATTTTTAATGTATAATAATACAAAAAGTATTCAGTAGTTTTTAATGCTCAAATGCTCAGGTAGACTTGTAAAAAATAGACACATAACCTTATCTTTGTATAATACATATTATTCAAAGATCAGGAGAGACCAATATGTGAGGGAATGTGAAGGGTCAAACACTATTATTTTTGTCAGTCTGCCTAATGATATTAACAAATGGGTGTGTATATAAATAGCAAGTCAATAGATCTACTTTATGATTTAGTACTGAGTACTAAACTCTTTGTTGATTACCGATCACTCATTTTCTCTTGTGTGGGGCAACATATCTTCATCTCGAAGTTTGATTTCTCTTTTCAGTTGATCCCTTACAGTGTTGAATCATACTCGGGTGACCGGTAAGGCCCCTGGGCCTCTACTTATGAATGAGAGTGCCATACAGAAATGTTAGAGAACTTCATAAATAAACTAAGTATATATTCAAACGAAGTTTGGGCCACAATAGGTGTTAAAGCTGAACAGAGGAATATCTTCTAAAATCACCCTTTTGGAAATTACAGCGACACGTAATGACATAATCTATTAAATTTTACAGTTAGATGCATACATTTTTGTATCAATTTTTTCTGTTTTGATACATGTATATTGCTGCTGTAATTAGCGATGACAGAATTATCTGTTTAATTTGAATACATTCTGATACAATATGTGTGATGATGTTTGCAGTCATTGAGATGCTATTATAATTTGTTTGATTAGTTTTATTGTTTCTCCTACAGTTTTTCATGTTCATTTTGTAACAGTATTAATTTAAGTTGATCTCCGAGATGCAAACCAACTTTCGAATTTACCACCTTTTTAGCTCACCTGAGCCGAAGGCTCAAGTGAGCTTTTCTGATCACATTTTGTCTGTAGTCCGTCTGTCCGTCTGTCCGTCTGTCTGTCCGTCTGTCCGTCTGTAAACTTTTCACATTTTCGACTTCTTCTCAAGAACCACTGGGCCAATTTCAACCAAACTTGCCACAAAGTATCCTTGGGTAAAGGGGATTCAAGTTTGTTCAAATGAAGGGCCACACCTTCTTCCAAGGGGAGATAATTAAGAATTCGTGAAAAATTAATGGCATCATTAAAAAATCTTCTTCTCAAGAACCACTGTGCTTGAAAACATGAAACTTATGTGGAAGCATCCTCAGGTAGTGTAGATTCAAGTTTGTTCAAATCATGACCCCCGGGGGTAGGGTGGGGCCACAATGGGCGATCAAAGTTTTACATAGGAATATATAGGAAAAATCTTTAAAAATCTTCTTCTCAAGAACAGCAAAGCCATAATTGGTCATATTTACCTGGAAGCATCCTCAGGTAGTGTAGATTCAAGTTTGTTCAAATCATGACCCCTGGGGGTCGGGTGGGGCCACAATGGGCGATCAAAGTTTTGCAAAGGAATATATAGGAAAAATCTTTAAAAATCTTCTTCTCAAGAACAGCAAAGCCATGATTGGTCATATTTACAGGGAAGCATCCTCAGATAGTGTACATTCAAATTTATTCAACTTATGACCCCCGGGGGTCGGGTGGGGCCACAATGGGCGATCAAAGTTTTACATAGGAACACATAGTAAAAATCTTCTTCTCAAGAACAGCAAAGCCATGATTGGTCATATTTATATGGTAGCATCCTCAGATAGTGTACATTCAAATTTGTTCAAATCATGACCCCTGGGGGTCGGGTGGGGCCACAATGGGCGATCAAAGTTTTACATAGGAACACATAGTAAAAATTCTAAAAAAAAAAAAAAAAAAAAAAAAAACATTTTGTTAAGAATAGCAAAGCCATGATTGGTCATATTTATATGGTAGCATCCTCAGATAGTGTACATACAAATTTGTTTGAATCATGACCCCCGGGGGTCGGGTGGGGCCACAATGGGCGATCAAAGTTTTACATTGGAACACATGGTAAAAATCTTTAAAAAAAAACCCTATTTGTTAAGAATAGCAAAGCCATGATTGGTCATATTTATATGGAAGCATTCTTAGATAGTGTACATTCAAGTTTGTTCAAACATGACCCCTGGGGGTCTGGTGGGGCCACAATGGGTGATCAAAGTTTTTCATAGGAATAGGAATAGGTTAAATCTTTAAAAATCTTCTACTCAAGAACAGCAAAGCCATGATTGGTCATATTTAAATGGAAGCATCCTCAGATAATGTAGATTCAAATTTGTTCAATTCATGACACCCCCCCCCCCCAACCACTTTTATATTTAAACTTTTCAACCTTTCAAGATTGAAGTGATTTCTGCTTTTTCCTAGCCATAGTGCTCAGGTGAGCGATGTGGCCCCTGGGCCTCTTGTTTATTTATCGTAATATTACGACTTCGAACAGCATTTTTGTTCCTTGGAAACAGGTAATTCTTTAGTTCATTTTATTATATGAATAACTATTCTATATTTTCAGTTGTCATCGTTAAGTATGCTGGTATTAGGCATTGTTTTGATGCGTGACACTAAGATGACAGGGAGTAACGTTTACCACGTATACAAGTACCTTTATCTGCAGGGTGTTAACTTTGTTGACATTGTGGAAGCCATGTATCTTTCCCTCATCATGTTAGGTGTTTTATCGATGACTTCTGGTCTTGTTGGACTGTCAGAGATGTTCAGAGACATTCGGAGTGAAGTCAAAATGAAATTTGTAAGTTTTGACTTTTCGATTTACACCAAATGTGACAAAAAATTTAAATATAATGTAAAAAGTGAAGGTAACAAGCAGTAATTAATTTCAAAAATTGAGTAAAGAATACGAATCGAGAACGTGACATAAAACCCCCTGGTAACACCAGAGGTGGGATCAGGTGCCTAGGAGAAAAAAGCATCCCCTGTTGACTGGTCACACCACCGTGAGCCCTATGTATTGATCAGGCAAATGTAGTCAAATTGTGCTTAAAAGCAATTATTTAACAAATGGAATGAAGCATGTCAGTCAAAAGTTATATTTGCAAACAAGGTCATTATATCAACCATAGTATTTGCAAAAAGCTGACTTTAAACGAAATACATCAACTTATTTGTCAGTAGCTTGCCTCGGTTTAATAATTGACCTTCTCAGAGCAAGCTTTTGCGTGTCGAATCAGTTTGAAGAAATAAACACCATATGCAGGAAATGTTTTGACGATGGAAAAGCTGAAGTCATCCTTTCTGTCATGCAGTTTAGTTATTAGTTGGCCATTATCGTCAATAGTCAGCAGAACATCCAAATATGTTGCGGACGCTGTGGTCCGTACAGATATATATATATATATATATACCAATGTGTAGTTTGAAGGCCAACAGCTCTTTTCATGTAAAAGTTTTTGGATACATTCTGCTTCATAGGAATATAATAACATGTAGCTAATAAAGCTGATAAAGGCGCACAATTAGTACTCATCGAATTCCAGCAGATTGTTGAAAGATCTGGTCTTCAAAGACTTCATAGATATTGTCATTGAGGAACTTCAGCATCTTCTAAATGTCAACTTCAGAGTACTTGTTTGAAGAATCAGAATGATTTTTAACAAAGTAATTTGTAGATGACTAATTACAAATTACTAATAATTACAAATTTACGAGTTCCAATTTTAATGAGGAGCCAGTTGTCTATGATGTCATAAAGCCTGTTTTTAAATTTATTGTTTAGAATTGTTGTATTAAGCGTAGAAAAGTTGTATGACAGGGGATGCTTACTCTTCCTAGGCACCTGATTCCACCAACAGAATTTCAAGGTGTCCTTGTTTTCTGCCCTTTTCACGGATTTATATTGTTTGTAGATTTTTTGTTTGTTTGTTTGTTTTTTGTTTTAATACATATTTGAGATTGATCACTTTTCGTTATCTCACCTTTTTCATGTTTTAATGCTATTGATTTTTGAAAAGTGTTGAGATTTTAAATTTTCCAAAAGTTCTTTGGAGTATTTTATAATCCATATTTTATTTACACCCATTCTTGAATGAATTATTTTTCTTCTAATTTTAGTATGTGTTAGTATTGGTCATCTTGATTTTTACAAAACTTGTTTGTATTTTCCTGATGATACCAGTACAGGGGGAAGTGAGTAAGATAACTATTCAGCAAACATTATATGTCGGATTATCGGAAATACATTTATGTATTGAAATTGGCTCATGGATTTAATCATGCTATTTCATTCTTTTTATGGTACACACAAAACTTTCAATGTATCCTATTAGGTTAACATTAAAAAAACAATTTTTTCTAGATAGAGACTGATTCTAGCGAGACTAATTATCAGCTGGTAAACATTGATCGCCAATACTCAAATCCTCGTTCATCTATTTATACGGATCTCAATAAATTTTATTTGGAAGTAAGTATAAAATATATTTTATTTTCAATAAATGTTAAGGTTTATGTTACCTACTCTATTCTTACCGAATGGGATTTATGGAAGAGAAGGTCACAACACCTAACCCTTCATATTTTTATATCAGTGTAAGGATTTATAGGTATAAATTGCATCTATTCAGTTTTTAGTCAAAATTTTGAAGAGAACTTTCAAATAATGAACCGCAACTTTTCTGAAAACCAGGCCAAATGAAAAGAAAGACCCAGAATCCTTAATAAGTGTAAAAAGTTTTTCTTCTGAATCACTTTGGCTTTTTCTCCTTTGTAAAAATTGAGATTCCTAATGCAGTCCTGTAAATTCGAGAAAATGATTTTAGATTCTGAGATTCTTTTTTTAAATTATGCAGGCGCTTTTTCTTTCCCCTTGGCTGCTCTTGGGACCATGGTTTGAAGATATCAAATTCAATACTTGAATATATTTGACACTAGCTTTGTAGTTCTTATCAAGAAGAATTTCAAAAGGAGTTCCGGTCACGTGATGGTCTGTGCCTGACCAAATTTTTTTTATTTATTTATTTTTTTTTTTTTTATTTATTTTTTTTTTTTTATTAGAAAAAAGAGATATATCAAGTAACATACTGAAACTTTTTCTTTTCCTCACATTCTCTCACACATTCACACTTCCCCCTCTGACTTTAAACAAGAATGAAATAAAAGAAAATTATTAACAATGAGGTACAAGTATTCCATTTGAAAAAATAATTATTGTTGGTGCTTTAATAAATGTTTATAACTCAAAAATATTAATCCATGTTGACCATAAGTTTTCAAAATTGTTCATTTCAAATTTTTGAATTGATATGCATTTTTCTATTTTGTACTTAAGAGTTAAAAAATGTAGCAGCCCATTAATCATAGGTATTTTGTTTTGCTTCAAGCAGGAAAATATATATTGCTTTGTATAAAGAATAATGAAATTCATCACCCTGTTATGATAAAGTAATGGAGTTTCACCAAAAATAATATTACACATGTTAAACCCAACTCTTTTAGAAGTTTTTGTAAAAATGTGCATACTTAGATTACTCCATAATGAAGAGATTTTTGTGCAATTCAAAAATATATGTTGTATTGTTTCTATCTCCTGTTTACAAAAAGTACAGTGGTCACCAGATAAAATATTTATTTTCTTCAAATAATACTTCACTGGAAGGATTCTATGAAGGATTCTATACTGTAACCATTGAACAGAAGTATCCATAGTTGTTCTAAAACAAACCTTAAAAACATCTTGAACACAAATATCAGATTCCAAAAACACTGACAGTTCCTGGTTCCATCTAAATATTGATGTAGGAGTGACAAGGTTACTATTCAAATATTTGTAAATTATTTTTGTGCACTTCTCGTATACAATAATATTTTCAAAATAAAAAGGAATAAAAGGTGTACATTGTCTCTTAACAGATGATTTGTCTATAGACATTGTTTTTAAATACCTGGATATAGCACAGATAATACTGTTGTATTGCATAATGCAAACATTAAACAAATGAAATCTATTTTCAAAGTCAGTGAGAGTTAAAAAATTTCCTTCATTGTTTAAGAAATCACAAACACTTTTAACACCATTTTTATACCAGGTCTTTATAAACATTACTTTATTTCCCATTTTTATATTGGGATTATACCAGACAGGTAAATTCAGATACTTAGTTTTCATATATGAATTGTTATCGAGTGTGTTCATGTAAAATAGCCATGAATTAAACACATCTTTCCAAAAATCATTATTTTTTACAATCAAACAAGATACAAACTCTTCACCAAACTCAGAAAGTTTAGTCAATATGTCTTTACCATTTATTGTCGAAAAAATATCAAACCATGTTTGATTGCTTTTTGTTAATCTTTTAATCCAGGAACACTTAAGAGAGATAATAAAGTTATTTATATCCAACATTTTTAATCCTCCTTGTAAAAAATCTTGAGTAATAATTTTTCTTTTTACTTTATCACATTTTGATTTCCATATAAACTCAAATATTTCTCTGTTCAATAATGACAAGGTTTCTTTATTTGGATTTGGTAAGGATATAAAAAAATGGTTAAGTTTTGGTAAAATCAATGTTTTCAGCACCGTGACTCTTCCAATAGGAGTAAGAATTCTTCTTCTCCATTGTTGAATTAATGCTTTGATTTTTGGTATTTGAACATTATAGTTAATATCAATAATTTTATCTAGTTCTACTGAAAAATTAATTCCAAGTAAATTGAAAGTTGTGCAACCCCATTCAAGTTTCCAACGAGAGTGGTGAAAAACTTGATTAGAGAATTTTTTTGAACCTATCCAAACAATTTTTGTTTTTGAGCTGTTAATTTTAAGTCCTGTGAACTTTGAGAAAAAATCAATTGTATCTAATGCTGCAAAAAGTGATTCAGGTGAACCATCAAGGGCAAGCCAGGTATCATCTGCATATTGAGATATTTTATGTTCTGTCTTGTTAATTACAATTCCTTTAATGCTTTGATTTTGTTTAATCATTATTGCAAGAATTTCTGCACAAAGAAGAAACAGATATGGTGCTACAGGATCTCCCTGACGACATCCTCTTTGGATATTAAACTGTTCAGATAAAAATCCACATTGAAGAACAGATGCACAAAATTCTGTATTTAAAATTTTTACCCATTCAATGATGTTTTTACCGAATCCAAAAAATTCTAATACTTTATACACAAAGGTCCAGGATATTGAATCAAAAGCTTTTTCAAAATCTATAAGTACAAGCAACCCCGGTATATTTCTAGATTCAGTGTAAGCCATAAGATCATAAAGAAATCTGTTATTTTCACCTATGTATCTTCCTTTTAAAAAGCCAAGTTGAGTATTTGATATAATATTGTCCAGGGTGGATCTTATTCTATAACTAATACAACCTGATATAAGTTTATAAAACACATTTAAAAGTGTAATAGGCCGCCAATTTTTCAGAAATTCTCTTGGCTTATCACCTTTTGGTAAGCATGTAATTATCCCTAGTCTTTGAGAGATAGGGAGTTCTTTTTTCTGAAATACATCATTTATGGCAGGTACTATTAAATGTTTCAAATCTGACCAAAAAAATTTAAAAAATTCAGCAGTGAAACCATCACTTCCCGGTGATTTATTGTTTTTCATATTTTTTAACACCTGTAAGACTTCATTTTCCATAATATTTCCCTCAAGTGATTTGGCAACATGATTATCAACTTTTGGAACCTCAGTAACTGTAATAATTTCTGCCAGATCTATATCGAGAAGTTCTGCGTCTGCAGAAGTATACAGTGATTTGTAATGCATCCTAATTCTATTTAAAATTTCTGATTGATTGTAAATTACCTCGTTGACTGTTTTAATCTTTTTCATAATCTTATTTAAATAGTCACGGGATTCTAGTTTACAAAAGTATTGAGATGGCTTTTCTCCATCTTCAACCCATCTGGCTCGAGACCTTATAACATGACCTTGTAGCTTTTCTTTTCTCAAATTCTCAAGATTTGTTTTTTCTCTTCTATTAACTGTAGATTCAATATATTCTCTGCCTCTAATTTCTCTATTTGTGCAATTAACAAGGCTTCTTCTTTATTTTTTTCTTTCTTTCTATATGACGAATATGAGATTGTAATTCCTCTAATCTCCATTAAGAGGACTTCAAGAAATGTACTATTATCCATATCATCTATAAGCACATTATTCTTTTCATATTGTTTTCTAATAGACTTTATTGTTTCTTTCACCTTGTTAACATATGTTATGTCTGTAAGTAAAGAGTTCTTAAATTTCCAGAGACCTTTTCCTTTCTTAAAGGTATTAAATTTTATATCAAGAACCACTGGTGAGTGGTCTGATCTGTACCCTGGTTTAATTGCTAAGTTTTCAACCAAATTACACATATTTTCAGAAATTAAAATATAATCTAAACGTCCTTGTTTCACTGGATTTTTCTTCCGCCAAGTAAAAATTTTCAAGTTTGGATTCAAAATCCTGAAATAGTCAACTATTTGTAAATCATTCATAATTTCTAAAAGTTTTTCTCTCCCCTTTGGATTGTTAATGTTACAATAATTTTCTGTATCTATTGATGGGTCAAGAGCCAGATTAAAATCACCGCATAATATAAAATAATCATTGTCAAGCTCTAATAAAGTTTCTCTTACTAACTCATAAAACTCTGAATTATCTGTGTTTGGTCCATAGATATTAATTAAAGTAACTTTATTATCCTCGATTGTCATATCGAGAGCTAATAGATTACCATTAACGTCCTGTTTCTCCCTGTGAATCTGAAATTCAAAATTGTTATTAAACAGAATGCATACCCCTCTTGAGTTTGACTTGTACGAATTGAAAATACATTTATATCCCCATTGTGTTTCAACGTAAGGTTCTATTTCTTTTGTAAAGTGAGTATCCTGAAAACAAAGAATTGAATAGCCCTTTTTCTTATAATAATTAAACATCCTGCCTTTTGGTACCTGTTGCCAAACCTTGACAATTCACCGTTGCTATTTTAATTGAGTCACTTATTTAGTTTGTAGCAATTTAGAAAAAAGCAATAAAATAGAAATCATAAAAAGTGATAGGCACCATCTTTTCAGACAATCGAAGCATATATTGGTAATAGAAAAACATGGAAATATGCACACACTCACCAACACACTTACACAAACAGTAAACATGATTTAATTTATAGTATAGTGAGCCCGATCTCACAGTCAAACGAGCCCGATCCCACAGTCAAATGGTGTCGAAACAAGGTCCGCTCCGCTGCACATTTGAACAATTGTATTCAGTATCCTTTCAGTTTTTCAGACACATTGTCCAGAATATCGAATTTGTGGCGATTTCCTTCTCCGTCCAGAGCAAACACTTTTCCATTATAATACCAGGCACTGTGAATTCTCGGATCATTGTTCAAATCGCGCACTAGTTTAGCGTTCATTTGTGTTAAGTGGTCATGCATAATAAAGATGTCTTTT